GCCAGCTGCTGCTGAAGGATGTCTTGAACGTAGACCTGAAAGCAGAGGAGATGGTGAGCCCAGGCCCCTGCTGCTGGGTGGGGAGGGCAGCCAAGCATGCAGTCAGGCCTGCTGGCCATCGGGAGGTGGCAAGGGGGTGCCATGGGCTGCAGGCTGAGCACCTCCCCGCTAGAACATTGCACAGGCCTGGGCTGGGCCGAGAGAGATGAATTCTAGCCAAAGCCCTATCCTGAGGCGCTGGTGGTCCAACGGGGTCCTGATGAACTCTGCACTCACCATGCTTCAAAGAGACATCGATCAAGCCACTTGCCCTGCCCAGAGCTCTGAGGCCCACCTGCCTACACCCCAGAAAAGGGATTCTCTCAGTGCAGACTGCCTGTGGGATCTCCACTGTAATGCAGAGCAGGGCACAGAGTCCTGGGCCCCTCAGTGACATACAAGTCCAGGAGCCAATCTGGGCTCCCAGGAACCCCAACACTGGGCCTGGAACACTGGCTCTGGGAGGAGCCCTGATGGGACAAGTTCATAAGCGAGGAGCCAAGAGTCTGTCCCAACTCCCCGGGCTCAAGGGGTAAAGTGTTTCCTGGGCCTGTGATGGGTGCAGTGGCCGCCCTCCAGCCTGGCTGTGATTGTGCATAAAGCGGCCTGGAACACCTCTCCCTAGGCAAGTGAGTTTCGGGGGGAGGATCTCAGCAGGCTGTGCCCGGGGATTAAGCCACCATGTGGCCCTGACAGTCCTGAAGGTCTCAGGGCCTGTCTCTTCTCCTGGAAGAGTGAATGGAAGAGCTTCCCAGCATCGCTCTGACAGTAACTGCCTACATTCTAGAGCTGAGATGAAGGCTCAGAGATGTGAGGGGCGTGTGTGTGGGGAGCCAGGGCACCCACCATAGTCTGTGCTTATAATGCTCCTCCCACTGCACGGGCAGTTGCCCCATTACCTTGGGCTGGCCAGGCAGGCGAGAATAGGCTGTGTGCACCTCATGCAGCACCCCCTTCCGGGCCATCTCCAACATCTCCTCCCGGTAAAGGTGGTCCTCATCTGGGCGCCGGCACCCAAACACCAGGGTCATGTGGCCTCTCCGGAGCCCTGCAAGACCCAGCAGGCTGCAGTTACAAGGGTGGCCACCAGAGGGTGGGCTTCAAAGCCTTGCATCTGGCCACCCAACTTGAATTCTCATTTCATCTCTGCAAGTGTCCTATCTAGCACTTTGCCCACCTCACAGATGAGGAAGCTGATGCCCGGGGCATTCATATCACTTGTCCACACAGGCGGAGGCAAACTGGGACAGGGGCCAAGCAATGTCTGTGGGCAGTGGCACAATTCTCTTGCAGCTCAGTTCTGGCCACCTGGTGCCCCCCATTCCAACACTCAGAACCCCCCAGCTGTACCTTTGTGCTCAGTGTCATGGAGTCGCTGCTGCCAGAAACTGCGGAAGGGGGCGATGCCCGTGCCGGGCCCAATGAGGATGCAAGGACGGGAGGGGTCCTCGGGGAGCTGGAAGCCGCTGGCACTGATGGGGACAGAAAGAGACAGGCCCTAGTCCTCAGACACCATGGGCGGGATGCACATGCAGGACAGAGGTCAGGTAGCTGGGGTGTGTGCTTTGGGCGGTAGTGTTGGGTGGGGGAGGGGCGTGTGGAGAAGACAGTGATCTCAAATTTGATTCCCAAGTCCTGCAGGCAGCTTCATTTCCTCTGGCCTGAGCCACCATCACCTTGCCCTGGGTCCTTTTTAAAGAGGCCGAGCCTCACTGTCCTCTGGGCTTCATCACCACTGTCATCTCCATCCCTGCTAGAGTCTTGGCCATGTTCTCTAGCCAGGAGGTAGATGGAGAGGCCCCGGGTGACCCCTAAGCCTTCTTTATGGGCCAAGGGGTCCAGAGTGGCACCTACACCCAGGTCCCTCCCTTTCAACCCCAAACTCCCAGAACCAGTGGTCCCACCGCATACAGAATGGAGGGGGTACTTACCTTCTTACAAAACAAGGCACTGGGTCTTGGGGTTTCAGGCTGCTGAGCCATGTGCTGCAGACACCGTGGTGCAGGGGACCCTGGCCATCTGCAAGGACAGCACAGACATGACCAACATAGCCTCCCCCCCACCCCCGGTGTGTGAACTGCCCCAGTGGCTCCTGGAACTCCGTGAGCTTTAATATGGGAGCTGTTTTTCTCCTGGTTCTTAGGCCCGCCCTTCATATACTCAGAGCTGGTGAACATGGAAGGGGACGTAGAGAGCAGGCAAGCCTCTCCTTTGGCCATTGCAGAAATTGAGTCTCAGAGGGACAGTGACTTGTACAAGGCCACTCAGGTAGCAGCAGAAGCAGGCCGCAGCTCAGCTTCCCTGGCCCCTACTCCAATGCTCCTTCTACGAGTTTCTCCAGGGACCCTCCCAGCCACCACTCGGCTCCAATGACAATTGCTCAAAGGGGCCCTTGGGGGTGGCTGCAGTCACTGCCCCAGAGTGTCTTCCCAAATGCAGTCCTGACTGGCAGGAAGCCTGGGTGATGGACAACCTCCTGAGCATGTGTGTGTGGCCCCTCCTTGACTTGTGGAAGCCCCAGCTTTTCCCGGGGTACATTCCTTTCCCAATGGCCCAGAATATAAGGGACCTCCAACCAACTTGAGAAGTCCCTTTGGTTTTCCTCTGGATGGAATCTTGCTCTCATGGAACATGCCTGCCTCTCCTCTCCTGGGCTGAGGACTGAGCCGGGGCCTGTGCAACATTGTCTAGCACAGCAAATGGTCTCTGCCCAGAGATTAGAACTGTGTGACTACACTGCTCAGAGCACAGAGGGCTCTGAGGTGTGTGCTGGCTCCCCTGCTTTGGCGCCCCAGGCAATGCTCTAGGCAAGGCACAGGCACAGTCCATCCAGGGGGGAGCCAAGCCCACTGGACAAGGTTTTGGACTTTCAAGTCTGTGTCAGTCCATCCCCCATCCCCTGCCCTCATAGCACCCTTCTTGGCACCTCCACAATGACAACTGTCTATTTCTGTGGGTCTCTCTTCATTGCACCCTCTCGATGGGAAGCTCCATGAGGGCAGAGGCTCCGTGTGCGGTATTTCCACACTGACCATGGTGCCAAGGGTAGAGAAGTATGGGACAAATCATTGCTGAGTGAGTGTGTGAAGGAATGAACAATCAAGGCAGAATCTGCCCTGTATTCAGGCTGCACTATCAGGAAAACTAAGAATCATTGGGCTCCCACTAAGTATTGGGTGTTTCCCACCTTTGATCTCATTAAGTTGCCCCAATAGAAGCTGGACTGCAAAGTGGAGTAGGGTGGTTAAGAATTTGGTCCCTGCAGATGACCTGGGTGTGAATCTCACTTCTCTGCTTGCTAATGGTGTGACTTTGAACAAGTGGCCTCAGTTTCCTCACCTGTAAAAAGCACACAGTACCCATCTCACATGACTACTGATGATACGCATACAAAGGGGCGAGCTCAGTGCCTGGTTCAGAGTAATCTCTGCCACACACCTCCTACTGCTGTAACAGCTCTGCAGGTGGGTGTTCCACTGATGAGACCAAAGCTCAGACACATTGAACAGCTGCCCAGCAAATAGCAGAGTTGGACTGCCCCAAAGCCTCTGCCTCGGCCTTACCTCGGGTGCGGTAGGTGAGCACGGCCACGGTGAGGTGGACCTCCGTGGGGGTGCGGTCCCTGGAGGAGCTGATGGAGTAGTACCGGGGTTTCAGGACAGGGAGCTGGGAGAGCAGGAAGCTGGCAGATACCCGCAGGGACGGGAACTCCTCCAGCACCTCCAGGAATGTGGGACTGTTGGTGAACTTCCACTTGTTGTACTCTGAGGGCTGGAAGGCAAGGGCAGTGTGAGCACCTGCCCCACTCCGAGGGAAAAGGCTGTCACAGTCCAGGTTTCATTCGTATGTGCGTGCGTTCATTCATTCATTCAATTCATTCCCTCCCTCAACAAAGACTTGGAGCTGTCCAGGGTGCTGAGACTACCAAGCTGGAGAGACTCTATTTCCTGTCCTGGAAGAACACAGGCCAGTGAGTAGCATTGATCTCACTTTTGTGCTGAGAACTTCACTGTCAGCAACTTGTGGGCAATAGCCAAATCTTTATTATAATCTCACTTGGAACCATACAGACCTGGGTTCAGATCTTGACTGGATGCTTGTCTTAGAGCTGTGGGATCCTGTCCCAATTGCTTAACCTCTGTGAAATGAGGATAGCATCACCTACTTTCTTGTGTTAAGTGAGAAAATGTGAGCCAAGTTACAGCAGCACAGCCTCGGGATAATGGCAGTGGAGGTGTCTGGAATCACGATAATTAGCAATAATAATGACATTTAGTGCTTTTTGCAAAGACTTGGGCCTAGAAAGTTGCAGGTGGGTTAATGCATTCTCTTATTAATTTATTAATTCAACCACCCATCTGTCACTATGCCCATTTATCCATTCAGCTACACCATCCATCCTCCAACACTTTCTATGTCCCAGGCTTGTCTCAGGCTCGTCCAAGATTTGGAAATACAAAGACAAGACACAGTGGCTCACTTTTCCTTAGATAATTTCTGAGGACGCGCACTTTGGTTGCATCCTGCAGACACTCAGAAAGATCCAGCTTACTCAACACAATTGTGCCTAGAAATGGGATGGGAGAATGCCTGACTTCCCACCTGACTTTGGCAAGTCTCACTTTGGACACCTGGGTGGATCCCACTTGGAGGTGAAAGGCCAGCGCTGAGCTCTGGCTTCCCCCAACTCCAGGCCCTGCCACTGCCCCACCCAGCAGCCCTGAACTTCACCTGGCACAGGGTCTGTAGCCTCTGCCTCTCCGGTTCTTCTGTGGCCAGCTGGGCCAGCTTTCGGAGCAGCAGCTGGGTTGGGGGCGTGGTGATGTCCAGGAAGTAGGTGAGGGCCTGGCTGGGGGAGCAGGGGGGCAGCCGCTTGTCCCTGACCCAGTAGCTGCCTAGAAAACAGTCAGGATGGAAAAGGTCCCATTTAGGTTTCCCAGAGGGTGATGAGGCCTCTGGGGCAGACCCCTCCTCCCTCCAGCTGCAGGGGAGAGAAGACACTGAAGTTCTGGCTCCAGGAGCAGCAACAGGGCTCATGTGCCCAACTCATGAGCAGGAAGATGGGCTCAGATATATGGGTGCAGGAAAGGCTGGTCAACAGCCCTCCAAAGGGCACCAGTGGTGACTCAATCCTATAAACTAACTATGCACCAGAGTCTAGTCCCTCTCACCCAGGCCTGATACCCACAGGTGGATTACAGGTTCACAGTGACTAAATCTACCAAAGACTGATGTACACCCAGAGGCCACTTATTCATTTAGAGAAAAGCCCATGACTGCAGTCCCCTGGGGTCCTATACCAGGAAGTGCTAGGAGAGCCCCCAATCACTCTGAGTGAGATGGTGAGTCTCAAGGAGTCCTGAGGGGCTCTATACAGGGGGGTCACAGCATGGATGCTGGGGCCAGTAGATGTGGGTTCAGACTCTGGCTCCCCACTTACTAGCTGGATGACCGAACTCTCTGAGCCTTGGATTCTGCCTCTGTGAAATGGATGTAATCACACAACTTATCTTGCTGGGTTTGTATGAGCATTGAATGAAATAGTGCGGTGTGATAGCTAGTACAGCGTCTGGGACACAGGTGCTCAATAAATGTTAGGTAAAAGTATTAGTATTACATTGTTTCATAGACCCAAGGCCCGATGAACCGCATCTGTCTTCCTACAGTCACAAGGACATCTCTGTCCCCTCATCCCCAAGTGTTGGGCTCTCTCACATTCTCCAGGACATTGGGGTCCAATGCCAGACTTTGCTCCTCTGACCCCGGCTTTCTGATTTTGGCCACTCTCTTTAGGGGGACACATTCCTGACGGTGACATTATCACTGAGGAAGCTAAGGCCAGGGAGCTAGTCCTAGGGCTGGGAGGCCCGAGATGGTAGATTTCACTCGTTTACCTCTCCTCCTGCCTGTCACCCTGTGCTGTGCTCTCCACATGGACGGAGAGCCTCCCCTTAGCACAGGACGGGGGTGCCCTGGGGCCTCCCAGGGGCAGTGTCCTCTCCCCGGTGAGGATGGCCAGGAGGAGCCACACTCTCCATGAGCCCTGCTCACTGCCTGGGAGGGTGGGAATAAACCAGACCCTTGGTGGGGCCGCAGTATGACATTAGAATGCCATGAAAATGTGGAGAGGTTATATATTTGGGGATCTGAGGAGGCTCTTGTGGTGTATTCTCTGACTTCTGGACAGATGTTCATTAGCCTGTGGGGAAATGAACCTCCCTCCACTCCTGCGTTTATTTGGTGTCAGGAATTGTGGTGAAGGTTACATTTGTATCCACTCATTTGTTCTTTACAACAAGCCTACAAGGAAAGCTCTTATCATCTCTATTTTAGAGAAAAGAAATAAAGCTTAGAGCGATTAATCCATATGCCCAAGGTCACATTGCTGGACCAGGGACTTGAACCTTCAAACCTCACCATTTTTACACTGTTTCCACATTTCTCTCTTATGTCACCATGCAAGCCACACATATATGCCTTTGGTGGGAACTAAAGAGGCAGTGCATGTAAAATGCTGGCATATAGTAATTACCCAACAATTGCTAGCTGCTACTGTTACTGTTATAATAATTATGATGAATAACATTCTTGCATATCGGCCTCCTGTACGAGGTGGTGAGCTCTCTGAGGACAGACACCAAGTCTCATTCATTTATTCGCCCGGGGCCTGTCTGTTATATAGACGAGACCAGTTAAAATTTCGATAGAAAATAAAGGAATCAGTCAATCATTTAAAAAGTGGCCAGTTAAGCAAAAGAATGAAGGGAAAAGGCTTTCCAGCCTCTGATGTTGGGCAGATGGTCCCAAAGAAGCGCCCCTTTTGCTGGCCTGCCACCTGGCTGAGAACTGTTTGTAAGGCGCAGGCCTGGGCGCCCCCCTCACCCCGCCCCCTCAGCAGGAAGGGGAGGGTTAGCTGCCTGCAGTGCAGGCCCAGGCCCAGCCCATCAGCTGGTTGGGGGGGCGGTGGGAGGATGTTGGGGTCGCCTCAGCAGAGGGTCCGTGGAGAGGGCTCACCGGTCTCGCTGAGGGTCTCCAGGCACACGGGTTGGTGGGGTGCGGGGCCGTCCACCACTCGCTCCAAAATGCCTTGAACCAGGGCTGGCTGGTTGCTTGGGAAAACCCCCAGGTGCTCTCCAGGCTGGTAGCTGAGGCCTGGGCTGCCCTCGCAGGAGAGTTCCACCAGGAGCGTGATGCGGCTGGAAATGGGGAGGAGAAGCCGCTGGTAACCCACCAGGACTTCCTCCAGAGCTCCCGGCAGGTGGGCCGCTTTCCCCTGGAAATACGCCCTCCTTTCATTTTCCTGCCTGATTCCATGAGCACGGAGCCCCCCCCCCCCCACCCCGCCCCGCCCCATGGCTAGGGCACCCAGAGGGACCTGAGGCTGGGCAGACTTGAGGCTTCTCCGTGGGGTGAGGGTGGGCTGCACCCCTCCCTGTGCAGTCCTCCCAAGCCCACGAGGGCTTGACCACAGACTGTGCCTAAAGAAAGCATCCCTCCAGGAGAGATGGAGGCAAATCCGGTTCTTGCTAGAACAAAGCCCAGATTTGCTAATGAATGGGGAGGACAGCACAGAGAAACAAAACCTACAGAGAATCCACAGCACGGGCCTACCCTGGCAGGAAAGTCCTTCCCTGCTAGACTTTTCCTGAAAGTTCTCAAGGAAGAGCCAAATGGCCCTTTGGCTCAGTGGATAGAGCATTGGCCTGTGGACTGAAGGGTCCCGGGTTCCATTCCAGTCAAGGGCACATGCCCGGGTTGTGGCTCAATCCCCAGTAGGGGGCATGCAGGAGGCAGCCAACCGATGATTCTCTTTTATCATTGATGTTTCTATCTCTCTCTCTCTCCCTCTCCCTTTCTCTCTGAAATCAATAAAAATATATTTTTAATAAAAAAAGGAGCTAAATGGTTGAATTTCTCTTGCCCCCCTTTTTGGTGGGAGAGTTAAGTGGCAAAGGGCAGGAAGTGAGGCAGGCCCCCAGTTGGGAAACTGGCCCAGGATGAATGGAGACCAGACGTAGAGGCGCTGGTGGCCATGGGGTTACCGGTCAAGCTGGCCCTCACTGCTAATGCCAGTGGACACAGCTCTCTTCTCAAAGACTGACTTGCCCTGCACTTCCTTTCATTAAGATGAAACCCGTGGACCATCACCCAGAGCCCTGTGCTCTACCCTACCTGGATTTGGGGCTCTGTAGATTCTGCCGCGATTTGAGCTTCATGGTGAACACATTCTTGGCGTGCATTCCGCTGAGGGCTGTGGGGACAGAGAGGCGGTGAGATGGCCAATGGCTCCCAAGCACCGTGTGCCTGAGTCAAGTGTGCCCGAGTCAGTGCCATCCGGACACTGCCCTCGGGAGGTCCCGCTGAGGGCGTGGGAGGGTTTTCTTTCCTTTTCCCCACGTGTCTCTGAGTCACAAATGAGGACCTTTGGTCTGACCCAGGGTGGTTGTGCTGCTGCTGGGTGTTGAGAAATACAACTCAGACGCCCAAATATGGGGATTCCGAGGACATCCTGGACCCGCAGGAGAGCATCGTGGAAGCCGGGGATCTCCTAAACAAGCAGAAATCTGCAGGCCCACCGGACGCATGGGACAACAAAAGGGGGAGCTCGAAGGCACGGCATCTGGAGGCACCACTGAGAGTTCACAGGCTGCGGAATGTTCTGGAATTGCCTCTGCAGATGTTCTTTACAATACGTGGCTGCCATGGAGCTGGAAGGGTAAGGCTCAGATCTCAACTTGGCCACATGCTGGCGACTCACATCGCCTCCCTAAAGTTCCTTTTCTCTGTGCCTGTCTTGCAGGATGAGTGTCAGGGCTCGCTTAGAGCGGGTGGGCAAAGAGCCCAGCACAGTGCCTGGCACACAGAAGGCCCTCAGTTGGTGTGGCCCCCTTCTCTCTCCACCTCCCTCCCACGGCTTCCTCCTTAAATGGCCTCCCTCAGAGACAAAGCAAGGCCTCGATTCTGGCACCCCAACCGGCTCTTGGAGGCAACAAGAGAGAGACGCCTGGCAGCCCTAGGCCAGCTGCCCCTGTTCAGAGGGTCCAGTGCTCAAAGACCCCACCGGGCAGGAAGGGCCAGCCAGCCCCGTGTGGTGCAGGGAAGCAGGTACCTTTGTTGAGGTCCAAAGGCTGAGAGTCCCGCACAAGCCGGTAGTGGTGCGGGTCCCAGGTCACATTGGTGGTGTAGAGCTTGGGGATCTGAATGCGGTCTTTGCCTCGGACATCGAACGCCTCACAGGCTGCCTGGAAGGAGACAGAGGGAATCCGTGTTCGTGAGCACCCTCGTCATCAGCGGCACCACCACCACTGGGGAAACGCTTCGCTTAAGGGTGGGGTTTGCTAAATCAGGAGTCAAACCTCGGGCAACAAAGACCTGAACTGTGTGGTCCCCATCCCCAAGCTCTCTGTCCCCAACAAGACCAGGTTGTCAAGAGGCGCTGGATAGTCAGAGGGGAAAAGATCTTAAACCCAAGCTCCCAGGAGTCAGGGAGGTGTCCTGCTACCTTCTCCTACCCAGGGACACAGGCCTAAAGTGGAGCTCTTCCGGGGGTGGGGGGGGGGGGGGGTTGAGGAAGAGCAGCAGCGACCTGAGCTCATAGGCCTGCAACCCCAGCCTCACCTGGGACCATGCCTGCAGGACCAGACAGAGGTCATGCCACCCAGGACGCCCGGCACAGTTGTCCTGGGCACGAATGCTCCACTGGCCCCTGTCCGTGCTGTGGGGCAGCACCAGCTGTGAACTGACCTTGAAGGTTTGCACGGCCCAGCTGCGGAAGGCCTCTTCCTGCCCACTGAGCTCGTCCCCTTCCCCCGTCGGGGTGAGCTGAGACGCTCCCAGGTGGGACAACTTCTGGTCGACATCATGAGCGAAGGCGCAGAACTGAGGGTACATGCTGGAACCGAGGCCAAACACGGCATACCTGCCCGAGGAGGACACACACACAGAGACTGGAGTGAGCCAGCCATGCAAGCATCTCCCAGCAGCACCAACAGCCCATAGGCCGGGCTCAGGCACTCCCAGTGCAGCCTGGCACAGGGCCCAATAGTGGATGCCCCCTTCTGGGCTTCCCTAGCGCCAGAAGCTTGTCACCAACTCCCATGACCAACCCTAAGTTTGGCCTGCAGACCCGTAAGAGGGGCTTGGATTCCCTGGCTTGAGGACAGGCTCTCTCCAGGCCTGGACACCCCAGAGAGGACCCTCTAATATACACCCAGTGCCAGACTCGGCCCATCAGGCAGGGCTCGGACAAGAGGGGGTGGGAACAGCCTTACCTGAACTTGTTGGTGAGCTCTTTCAGCATGAAGAGGGATTTCTTCAGCTTCTAGAAAGAGAAAGAAACACAAAGATCTCAGGACAGGATTTATAAAAGCAACTGCTGCTTCTTTTCTTCTGGTGGCCCATTCAGAACCGGCCACATCTGACAGAAGGTTCAAGATCCACAGATGCAAGTTGGTTGATGTGTACCTGGCTGGGGCTCAGGGACAAGTCCAGCCTTAGCCACTCATGTGGCCTTGACCCTCAGTGGGGGGCCCAGAAACAGCCCAGCCCCCACCCCACCCAGCTCTGTAGAGGGTTTCCTGATGGGGACGCAAGTGAGCCCCACTTCCTGTTTGGAACCTGGTGAGAGCAACAACTGTTCCCGTATTTTCTAAAATAACCCTGATTTCCCAGGGACTCAAGATAATTTTAGATGGTACATGACCTAGCAGATATAGTGTCAGATCTCCTGGTAAGGTAGTATTCTCTCCTCTGTAATTTTTTTTTAGTTATTCCCATTTCAACTTTTTGTTGTTGTTGTTCTCTTAAACACTAGGGAGAAAGTCTCACATTGGTAGTAATGGAGCCTTAACACCTCTCTAATACTTGCCTACTATTAAAACAAAACAAAACACCCTAAGCAAGCCATGGTCGGCTAATAGTATCTAGCTAAAATTCAATAACTCTGTTTGGCTTTCATTGGATTTGTGAGAGTGAGATAGAGTTTCCTTTAAACATGAATTGTTGAATTTGAAAGGTAGGTCAGTTTGCTGAAATCTATTAAGTATGTCGTAGGAAAGGTCACACGTGCATATGGCGATCACTACGAAGGACACAGGCAAATGGCTGACATTGGGCAACCAGAGTGATCTGAGCACTCACCCCCAAATGTCCTCCCCAGGATATGCTGAACTCCCACATCCCTTCCTTGGGCCCTACCACCCCCCAGACCCCTGGGACCTGGGCCACCTACCGCTCCATTGCCGGGGGAGTCTCCGTTCCCAAAGGTGCTGGTCACCACCAGCAGCAGCTGCTCCTCCTCCAGGCTGCTCAGCCTGTACTCGTCCATGCAGAGAACCTGCTTGGCACCGAGGGTGGGCATCAGCCCTGGGTCCCAGGCTGGAGCCCTCTGTGCCCTCCCCAGACACCCTGTGCTTTCCCGCCCCGACCCAGGCCCTTAGCCCGCTTCATCACCCAGGCCCCCCGCCTCCCCCCAGCACAGGTGTGGCACAGAGAAGGTGAGTGCCTAACAAATTCATCAGATGAACCCCCTTGAATACACGGCCTCAATTCTCCCTGCCTCCAGCCCCACCACCACCACGTCAGCAAGCCCTGGGGGGTCTGCCTCCAAACTACTGCCCGGCCCAGATCAAAACACTTCCGCCACTTCTGTGGCTATTTTGGATTCTTAGTGCATGGACATATCTTCCACAAAAATGGGGTGAGCAGGTTACAAAAATGACAACTCCTCTGGCACCTCCGGAACCCAGACACTTTGCCTGACGCTGTCAGGTGAAGGGAGTCATGGCCTCGCCCCTACCCGGGCCCACCTGCCTGAGGAGGCCTGCAGGGGTGAAGAATGGTCCTCTGGCACCTCCGGAACCCAGACACTTTGCCTGACACTAATGTCAGGTGAAGGGAGTCACGGCCTCCCTCCTACCCGGGCCCACCTGCCTCAGGAGGCCTGCAGGGGTGAAGAATGACGTCCAGCACTGACGGGATGGGTGAGCCACCCTCTGGGGTTTTATTTGTCTGCACTTTATTCACCCTTTGCCTCCTTCACATTTAGCACTGCACCCTGTAGGTAAGGTGTGCAGTGAACGGCAATAAAATTCATCTAGAGCAGCTCATGGAAACTGAGACTTGGGCTCATTAGGAAAGTGTTTCTCGCCCGACCAGTGTGCTCAGTGGTTGGGCATCAACCCATGATCCAGGAGGTCAGGGTTCAATTCCTGGTCAGGGCACATGCCCGGGTTGTGCCCTTCCTCTCTGAAATAATATATATATATATATTTTTAAGAAAGTGTTTCTCAACCTGCATTCCCTGGAACACTCTGAAAAACGTATCAACTGTGTAAGTTTGAGAACCCCTGGACACACCTATCCTCCTATGTGTGATTTACAACGTAGAGCCACACGTCCAGGCTCTGAGACGTCCTGGAGCAGAGCACTCTGACTTTCCCAGACTTCCCTGTACATAGGCAGGGGAACGGCACACGTCCAGCCGGGTCAGGTACCTTGGGGTTGAAGGCACAGCTGAACAAAGCCCCTAGGTCCTGAGCCAGAGTTTCCGATTTTCCCGTCTCCGTCGCAAAGAGGATGGTGGCTCTGACTCGGGACGCCATGGTCTTGCGCATCAGCATAGAGGCAAAGAGCACGGCTCTGTGGGGACAGACAGATACTGTGCCGGGTCATCCTTCCAGAGGGAGATGGGGGCCCAGGAGGGTGGGAGGGGACAGTGTTTAAAGTGGGCAGATTGAGTTAAAAGAACCCCATTTCTCACCAGCTATCAACCCTGACTCACCACCTTCTCCTGCCCTCGCCCACTCCACCTGCTGCTTAGCCCCTTTGGGAAAATGGAGGAGAGAGGAGATTGGGACAATAGCGACAGGTGACCCTTGGAATTGGTGTGGGGACCTCTGGGAGCCAAACTCCATCAAGATCACTTCTTTGTTCCCTGCCCTTCAAGGCCTAGAAGGGCAGGCTGACTGGAAGGAAGATGTCAACACGGGCCACTCTCACTTACTTAACCAAGACTTGAAACCGAATCTCTCTTCTCCGGGGCCTCCGCTTCCCGTCCTGCCAGACGTGGGTTTTCCAGGCCTCCACCTTCAGGAAAGAAGGCAGATGTGAGAGCCAGGCAGGCCCGAGCTTAGCGTGGACTTGGGAATGCTGGTTAAGCATCGACCCATGAACCAAGATTTCCCCCATTGGATTCCTATTCAGGGCACATGCCCGATTGCGGGCTCAATCCCCGGTAATGGTATGCAGGAGGCAGCCAATCAATGTCTCTCTCTCTCATCAATGTTTTCATCTCTCTCTCTAAAATCAATAAAAACATTTTTTTTTAAAAAAGAATACCTTGCCCTAACTGGTTTTGCTCAATGGATAGAGTGTCGTCCTGGGGACTGAAGGGTCCCAGGTTCGATTCTAGTCAAGGGCATGTACCTGGGTTGCAGGCACATCCCCAGTAGGAGGCGTGCAGGAGGCAGCTGATCAATGTTTCTCTCTCATCGATGTTTCTAACTCTCTATCCCTCTCCCTTCCTCTCTGTAAAAATTCAATAAAATATATTTTTTTAAAAAAGAATACCTTTACAAAATAAATAAAAAGTATTAAGAATGTCTGTATTCTTGGTCCTTCCCCATATGTCCTACATGAGTGAGCATGCACATGCACACGCGGATGCACACACATACACATGCATGCACGTGCACATACATGCACACATGTGCAGACACACACTGTCTCTACCCCTGAGCCCCCAAGACAGAGAGAAGAGGAAAGCCCTCTGTTACCTGGTAGTAGTAGAAAGGGGACAGAACATAGTTTAACATCTCCTGGTGGAACACGGGGGTGATGCTTCCAGAAATGGGGGGCACCAGCCAAATCCAGTCGGCGGGGCAGCCCCCTCGGGACCGGTACTCGTTCTGCATGTACTTCATGAAGGACTCTGCAGCTGAGTGGTGGTCCATGATGGTCACATTTTGCTTCTAAATCAGAAGGAGGCAAGAGGGGGAGTTGAGACAAGGGACAGGGGAATCAGGAGAGTGGTCGGTTGACTGCAGGGTTCCCAGGTAAACCCTGGGAGGCCTGGAAATCTGTAAAATGGGACAGCAATTCCTCCTGGTCCCCTCCTCATGGCTGAAAATAAATATCCAAAGGAAGGGACGCCGAAGGAGCCAGAAAAATCACCATCACCATGGTCAGCCCACAGATCAGATGGTGGCCTCCTACTGGCCCTCTGGGGCAGTGTCCAGCTTCTCAAGCCATGCCCTCAGGTCTCCCCAAATTCCCAGCTGATGGCTCTCTCTCTGGATGCTGATAAATCAAACCACAGCGCATTTTTGTTGGGAGAGAATCCCAGGAGTCACTTCCCCACGGATGTGGCTCTCTTGGCCAAGAAGGAACTGGGATGGAAGCACTGGGGGGAACCATAGTGTCTGGAAGACAAGTGACCAACATCCTAAAATTAAAAGCCACGGGGTCTGAGCTTCCCACACTGACCCAACAAAGGCCACACCCTCAATGCCAGAGGCAACCCATGCAGCCAGGAGACACTTGCTTCATATAGTGGTTCCAAAGTTGGCCTCTTATTGGCCCTGTGACCACAAGTCATTAGTTCCTGAACCTCACTAAGCCTCAGCTGCCTCATCAGTAAAGTGGGGATGCTAACAGTTCCTCATGAGGTTATCGAAAGGATGCAATACATTATTACAAGTAAAGCAACAGAACGTGCTCAGTAAAGTTAGCTGCTGCTATTATTTCTATCTGCCAGGCAGTGCATAAGGCACTGGCATTATAGACATGAAAGACACGGCCCCTCCATGCATCAGATTGTATTCTAATTAGGGGAGGAAGAAGAAAGCCCGCTTTTCACGTGGTGTGATAGCAGCTACGTGGAAGGGTGCAGGTGCTGATGGAGGGCAGAGGAGAGGGCTTAGCTCAGAGGCCTGGAGGAGAGATGGGGCTTCCAGGGACAGCTTATAAGAGGAGGTGAGTCCTGAGAGATGGGTACAAGTTAGGCCAGAGACAGGTATTCCTGGAGGAGGACACAAACATGAGTCAAGTCCAAGAGAAGGAGAGGAGCTAGCTGATGGAGGTCCCAGGAGGCCCCCTCACACCTTCTAAAATTTATACATACATATACCATACATATGCAACCCCTGGGTTCCAGATCAGTTTTAAGCTCTGGAATGGATTGTTGTGATAATGACAGTAACAATAATAAATAACAACAACAACAACATGAGTGCTTGCTAAGTGTTCACTATGGGCCAGGCAGTTCTGCTAAATTGCATCTATTTCATTGAATTCTTACAGTCACCTAGGGAGGGGGGGACAGTTATTATCTCTGTTTTAAAAATTAGGAAACAAGGCCAAGTCTTTTGAAGTTTACTGTGAAGGAGGGTCAGTGATGAGGAAGTCTTGGAGACTCAAAAGCAGTGACGGGACGTGACCAGCAATGGTCAAGGGCCAGGGAAGGATCAACAGGTTTTCGGGGACAGATCCTCATCCTGCCAGTGTCAGGGCTGATGCTGGGAGCCCCAGGAGTCAGGATGTGTGGTCCACGGGTGGCCCGTGGGGCCTTCCCAAGCTGGGCCAGCCCCACGGGGCTCTTCCTGTCCTGTCTCAAGGCCACCCCCTCCCTGAATCAAGCACAAGCTTGACCTACCTATGGGGTGACCTGCCCTGGGGAACAGCGTGTGATCGTAAATATTTACTGGGCGATTGTTTAATGTCAGCTCCCCACTACACTTCACAAGGACAAATGTTTGTCTGGTTTGTTCACCACTCATGTCTGTGGCCCAGCCTAGGGCCTGGCACGTGGAAAACACTCAATAAAACTTTGCTGAATGAATGAATGACTCTCTGCCCAGTGGTTTGGCCACCAGGGCACCTGCCAGTTTTGTGGAGATGGTCCCAGCTTCTACAGTAATATCTTCACACACCCCATGCCTCCTTCCCAAAGGATGTGTTTATATGCGTAAGAGCAGCAGATGGTCCAGTGGGCTCAGTCTCACACAGGAACCAACCTGCTGTGTGTAGGTCCAAGGGGTGGACACTGTTGCTCAGAAATAAGAGCACCACTGCTCATGTGGTTGTGGGCTCTCGTTCATTCACTCAACACACTTTTTTTTTTCTTTTTTTTTTCTTTTTTTTACCATGCGCCAGACACTCTTCTGGACTCTAGAGGTAGAGCAGTAAATAAGAGAGATAAGACATCTACCCCATGGAGCTTACATTCTGGGGTGGGCTGGGGGTGGGGACAAAACAACAAAGAAAGAAAGAAGTAGTTGTAGTATATATTGTCAGGAGCTAATAAGTATTATGAAGAAAAATAAAGAGTGTTAAGGGAAGAAGAGAGAGAGAGAGGGTGGAGGTGGGGTGAGGGTGCCATTTTATATGCATGGCCAGTAAGGACTCCTCTGAGGAGGTGACATTGGCACCTCGATGAAGGGAAGGGGCCGGTCGTGGGATGATTTGTGGGAAGAGTGTTCTAGGCAGAGGGAAAAGCAAGTGCAAAGGCCCTGAGGTGGGAACTGTACCGTTGAGTCTGAAAAACAGCAAGAATTCTAGTGTGACTGGGAGGTTGGTGGGAGATAAAGGCCCGACGGGAGAGGCTGGGGGAGGCGGAAGTGTAAGGAGGTCCTTCCTTGGTTTTGTTGTAAAGGGATGCAGAAAACAAGGTGGGAGGTGGGGGAGGCATTTGGTTAGCGACCCATTGATTTCTTTGAGATGAGAACCATTACAGCCGATTGATGTTGACAGGAATGACCCAGTAGAGAGGGAGACACTGGGGAGACAGGAGAGAGAAGGGGGAAATTTTCAGGATTAAAGTCCTTGAGAAATTGAGAGGACAGGATTCAGTGCTTAAACGCAGGGGTTGACCAGTCTTAGGAGGAAAGTAGCTGCCTGTTGCTAGAAACCTGCAAGCTGTACTAGGAGACCTCGAGTTAGTGGGAGGGCTTATCTGTCTGTATCCCCAGCACCTAGCACCGTGTGTGGCGCAAGCTGGGTGTTCCATGCTTGTTTGGTGCATAAATAAATGAACAGTGCTGTCATGGGAAGTCAAGCATGGCATGCGCGGCTGGGCCAGATGACCTTCTAACCAGAAAGGCCCACAGAACCCCAGTCATACCTGGAAACTGTGGAGCACGGCGACATTGATCTCAACGACAGCCTGGTCCTTCCAGAGCGAGGCCAGCTTGTGCGTTTCCAGGCCCATCCTTCTGCCCACCTCCTGCAGAGGCAGAGAAATGGCGGTGCATCAGCCCTTGGGACCAAACCACAGGCCCACACCTCCCGCTGGCCCAGCTGGGCGGCCCTCCGTACCTCCAGGATGTTGTAGCGCTGGACGTCACAGAAGTCCCGCACCCCGATCTCTGTGCCCATGTACCAGCCGTTGAAGGGGCACCCTGGAAACTCCAGGCCACCCACCTCGAGCAGCATATTGGACACGGCAGGCAGGGCGTACCACTTCAGCCCCAGCTCCCGGAACCACTCATACCTGGCAGGGACACACGGACAATGGGTATTGGGGCCTTCACTTCTGCCTCCCCTCACCGCCCCCTTCGCCCCCCAAAAAAAGCTTCAGAAAGAGTCAACCAAGAAAGCTCTTGTTCCAAGGGTTGATCTCTAAGTTCATCCCCCCTGGAGGGGTGAAGGGGTACACGAGGTGTCCTTCATTGATTATGCATTCATTCACTCATTCATTAATTCACCCAGTCGTATAGTAAGCATCAAGTATGTGACAGGCCAATGCCAAATGCTGAGAACCCACATAGCATAGTGGTTAAGGACGCTAGAGTCAGAAAGCCTGGTTTCAGGTTCTGCCTTACTGCTTACCAGCTGTGTGAACTTGGGATGTTATTTAGCCTCTCTGAGCCTCACTCACCCCACCAACAAAATAGAGGTAATAGCATCCAACTCGTGAGATTACTGTGAAGACAGTACTATCATTCACTTGTATGTTCATTTATTCCAGAAATATTTATAATTGAGCACCTACTATGTGCTAGGCACCCTGCTAGGTGTTGAGGATATATTGCTGAACAAGAAAGGCAAGACCCTGCCCTGGCCGGTGTGCTCAGTGGTTAGAGAGTCACCCCACGCACCAAAGGGTCGTGGGCTTGGTTCCTGATCAAGGGCACATACCCAGTCAGGGCACATGTGGGAGACAACCAATCTATGTATCTCTTTCACATCTATATTTCTCTCTCTCTCTTTCTCTCTCTCTTCCTTCCCCCCTCTCCCCCCCCAAAATAAAATAAAACAATGGAAAAATATCTTCGGGTGAGGATTAACAACAACAAAAAAGGCAAGATCCCTATTCTCAAGGAGTTTACAGTCTATAGACTCCAGTCTAGACTATAAACAGGCAAACAAACAAATAAATAGGAAAATAAAAACCAGGTGATGTGTTAAACAGAGGGTGGGGGCGCTACTCTAGATCAGGAGGGGCTTCTGGGAGGGGGAATACTGCACTGACAAGAAGAAATGAACTCTGAGGAAAGGGCACGGGAACAGCAAGTCCAATGGCTCTGAGGCGGACTGAGTTCCGGATATTCAAGGCGCACACACAGAAAGAGAGCCCAGCCCAATGATGGCGACATAGTGAGTCTCAACATAGGCAGGTATTTTGTGATTGTGAGAGCTGTCTGGAGCAAGGGCTGAACCAGATGAGCTCTTGAAGTCACTGTAACCTATGCTTTCATCACAGTCAGGCGAGGCACCGCTAAGAGAACTGGCAGGAAGGCAACAGAGGCCTGTGCTGCTCAGTGTGAGAATCTCAGAGCCCCACAAGGGTTCCTCTCCCAAGGTCACTGCTTCTCAAGCTCCTAAGGCCCCATCTGTCCAAGCCTGCGCTTCCCCCTCCTCATCAATACACCCTCATAAGTCGGAAGCCCCAGACACAAGTGCAGAGTTGCTGTATGAGGGTGACAAGGGGGGGCCTTGAAAGCAAGCCCTTTGGGGCACCTGCTGCTGACTGGGCTTTGGAGCAGATGCAAAGAGAGGCCTGAGGATGGAGGTCTCCCTCAGGAAAGGAGGGGGACCTGCATGTTAACTCACACCCAGCACCCTCGGCCCGCTTACTTGGGATGTTCCATGGGCACCTCGAGCACAAGATCAGGCGGGATCTCGAAGAGCTCAGGGTCTCGGCCGCCGGCCTGCAGGACCAGAGGCACCACGTCGAAGCGGCCGTACTTGGGTTTCCAGCCCAGGTCGATGCACAGCTGGGGACAAGACAGGCCAGTGAGTCTGCAGACCCAGGCACCTCGCCCCCTCGAGGCTCCACTGTCACCCTCCAAGGCTGGACCTGGTACCTGGGTGAACTCCACGCAGGCAGGGTCCCCTCGGATGGTGCCATCAGGCATCTGGTAGCCGGCATAGCGGATGAGCTGGGAGTTCCAGACCCGGAAGTCGTGCTTCCCATCGCTCCGCTGGGGGAACACCGTGATGGCCGACCTTCCCCAAGACAAGGACCGTGCTGTTTACCACCTGGCTCCAGTGGGGGCTCCCAGCCACCCCCCTCTGGTGCCCTGCCCCTTCCTGTCTTCCCACTCCCCAGCCCTCTGCACCTGAGGCTACGGAACCCAGCTCCTGCAGCTCCCCAACATGCCCAGTGCTCCCTGCCTCTGTGTAACCTGCCCCACTTTCTGAAATACCGTCTCCTTCCCTCTTCCATCTTAAAGACGCCCCCCCCCATCCCCTCCAAATGGTTCCAAGTCTGAAGGAAACCAAGGATACAGGCTATTGAGGGGGGCTAAGCTTGCGGAGGCTCTGCTCATTACTAGGGCTCCCTAAAGAAGCCCGAGTCTCCGCTCTCTTTCTCCCTGGTTTCTCCTGGAGCCAGAGACACCACCCCTAAACCCATTTGTATCTTCTGGCTGAGTCTGGAGGTGGGTGGACCCCAGCCATGGCCTTGAGAAAGGGGCTCCCACCTGATGTTGCCGTTGTTGGTGGAGTAACGCAGGTGTCTGCAGATGTGCTCGAACATTTCCTGGGCAGTGGAACAGCTCCGGGCGTCGAAGACCTGCACACAGCCCCCCAGACACGCCCACCAAGATCAGTGAGAACTCAGGTCTCTGGGATGATCAGAAGCTAAATCACGAGGGATCCGAGGGTGGGCCCCAGACCCCCAGGGCCAAACACTAAGCAGAGAAGTGCTTCCTCATCTCTGCATCGACACCTCCCACCCCAGGGCTGCCCCGTCCAGCCTTTCTCCTGCTCTCCTAGGGGAGCCCAAGCACCCCCACTTGGAAGATCCTATCAAAACCCCAATCCCAAGAAAACTCGATGGCAAGCACCATGGATCCGGATTCCCGCAGCCCAGCCTAGTTTCTCTACAAGGTGAGCACATTGGACACCAGGCCTCCAGCACATTTTGTTACAGGCGGAGGTGCTTTCACTGGCATCATTCATCGATTTCTCTGTCCAAGGGCTTGCGATATTCTCCAGCAACACAAGACCCCCTCGATGTAAAGATGTCCTAGGAGGCTACGCTAAAGAAAATGTTTTCTAGGGGCCAAGGATCCAAACAGTCCAGGCAAACCACCTTTCTTGCAGCACCAGAGCTTCCACAATAATAATAACAAGGTCATTTGGTTTGATGTTGGCCGCTAGTCTCCCAACTTGAACAACAGAGAGAAAGATCAGCTGGAAACCCCGGGGCTGACATTGGACCCTAGACTTCCCACGGGGGCCCGTCTCAAGTTCAGGGGTGTGCAGAGAGAAGCTGAGGCCCCGGGTTCAGTCCGGGAGCTCTGGGCACAGCTCTGCTTGGCTGTTCGGGGGCCTCTGCCCAGGGCCCGCCCCGTCCGCCGCTTCCTCTCCCGCTAGGCTCTAGGGAAGTGCACCTGCAGGTTGGACCACTGGATCCTCCCGATGCAGCGTGGGGCATTGCGCCAGGCCTGCTTGGTGGCGTAGATGAGCTCATCTCCCGTCAGCTGGTAGGTTCCTGTTGTTTCTATCTCCTTTGTTACAGCTTCCACCCTGGCCAGATGTTCCTCTATTTTTGCCCTGGGGGACAGGAAGACATCAGGAAGATCAACAACGAGATAGCCTTACACGGGCATTAATTCAAGCCACAGAAGCAGGAACTGAATTAGGACACCAGGAGGTCAAGATGTCTCCTGGAGACCGGCCCCTCCAGGTCAGCTTCATGGGTGCGTGACCTGGGCCCTGAGCTTAGAAGGGCCCCGTGCTTGGTCTCATGCTCTGCTGTCACTGTGTTCAAACTCGGAATCCCTTTTGAACAGGGAGTCCGCGTTGTTTTCGATTTTACACGGGGTCCTGCAAGCCTTGTCGCTGTTCCCGATCCCAGCAGCGCCCTTGTGGTTTCTGGGCACTTTTTCTCTAATCATGTACATCTCCGCTTGGCGAGCACAAGCAGGGAGTGCGTGCAACCCCCTCAGACACACGCGAGACCCAGAGGGGCATCCATCACGCCACAGTCCCGTCTGCCTCTCCCATGGTGAAAGGATGAGCCAATCAATTCCTCCCACGGCATCTCCTGTGCACGGAGTGCCTGCTAGGAGCCCGGTACTGGTGAAGTCACTCACAGTCGGTGTCGCATTGGGCCTGTGAGGGAGGCGTTTTTGTGTCCATTTTATCGTCAAATGAATCAAGGTTCTAGGAGGGTAAGTCCCCCCACAGGACGGGAGTGTGATAAAGAGCAAAGTCAGGACTCAGATCCAGGTTTCCCTGATGCCACGCCCAGGCTCTTCACCTTCCACCTCCTACCCGAGGGGGCGTGCAAGCCCAGAGATGCTGAGGGCCTTCCCACGCTCTGCTCTCTGGCTCAGGCGCCCACAGGGAGTGGCTCTCAGGACTCCGCCTGCAGGGCCCCAGGGCCTGCTCAGGGAGGAGCCCTCCCCAGCAGGGTCCAACCTCCCAGCTCTCCACAGACCCGGGGTTTCTCAACCTCTCAGCCAGCCAGGCAGGTGAGGTGTCTACACGGGCTCCTCTCCTCCCCTCCCAGGCTTCAAAAACACCCCACAGGGAGAAATTCGGGCAGAAAGGCTTTGAAACACCACCACCACCACCACCACCACAACCTTGGGCTTTCCAATCAGCACCAAAAATGTTTGAAATGGCAACAAACAAAACTATTTAAGGAATGAACTCCTGATTAAGGAGAGTGGACAACTCAGAATAAATGGCCTTTCTGCGGATGAAGAGTGTCCCGACCACTCTTCCTTGATTAAGGAAAAAGCTCAAAGACAAAACACTTGACACCATTTATCTTCAAGGATACACCGCTGCTGGGTGAAGGTTGAGGCGGCCCTTTCTCCCTAAACAAAGCTCCTAGCAGCACTCGCTGCGCGGCACCCAAGCATGGAAACAGCAGCCATGACCAGAACACAGAGGCCTCGCGCATACTTGTTACCATGTGGCCATATAAGAAAGAATTCTTTTTTACATGTTTACCCCATTCCTTTAGAATTTTATATTTTGCCACGACTTTCATGTAGTCATGGTTCTGAGGCACTGAAAATGCTATGATGCCTATTAGTTCTGGAAGAAGAAAAAAGAAAATGGCTTTTGGCATCGGTGAACTGGATTTAAACAGAACATTGAGCAAGTTATGATTTCTATCTATACATTCCTTCCTTCATGAAAGACCGAACCAGCCCAGCTGCCTGTGCCCGTGGCTGCGAGTGTAATTGTGGAGATGGACTGTCGTTTGTCCTCCACCGCCCCCAGGACCTCATGGGGGTCCCAGGTATGGACTTGTGACTGTGAGAAATGGCTCTTTCCTCCGTGAGAAGCAGAGCAGCCCTGGGGCCTCCCCCAGCTAACATCCGCCCAGCTGCCTTCAGACACCAGCAGGACCTCCCAGGTCCAGCATGGAACACTGAGGTTAAAGCAGGGGCTCTAGCGCTAAGCTGCTGGGGTTCAAACCCTAGCTCTGGGACTTCTGAATGTGTGACTTTGAGTGGGTTCATCTCCTCCACAGCCTCAGTTTCCATGTCTGAAACATGCGGAGGATAATAATGGTGCCAATCTCATCGAGGCGTGGTGAGCGTTACTCACAAGGCACTCACGCAGGGCCCAGAACATACTTAGCCCTCGGTAAGTGTTAGCATCGATACAGTGGCCCAAGGAAGCCCATGGGGAAAATTCCCGCCCCCTGAAAGGTTCATTAGTCAACACCTCACTGACAGCCCAGGGCGCCTGAGCCTCCCAGTCTCCCAGCACCCTGCAGAGGTTCCAGTTGCACAACACACAGCCCGCACTCCCCTGCGTGAATAGGGCTCTCAGTCCAGCTGTGCGTCAGCATCGCCTGGAGAGCTTTGAAAGAACCTGGATGTCTGCTGCCTCCCCACTTCCTGGGGCCCTGACACTCGTGGCCCAAGGGACCCTGACATCAGCATTTTGCAATGTCCTCAGGCAACTCTTCTGCGCAGCCAGGGTTGAGGATCACTGGCCCTGGGAGGTCACATTTCTGAGGCACTGAAAATGCGATGATGCCTATTAGTTCTGGAAAAAAAGGAAATGGGCCCTCCCGGCTCAGACATTGTCTGGTCATAGGAGAGGGCATGTGGTCTCACCAGAACCACTCTTTCTGCCACGGGGGGTCCCAGGTGCACTTCTGTGGCTCACTTCGTGCAGTGAAGTGCCACGTGGGGCTGCACTATAAAAGCCACACTCCCCTCCCAGCCCATTAACCAGCCAATCCATGCTCTTGGCCATTCTGTCTCACAATCCCTTTGTGCATTTCTTATTTTAAAGGTTTAAAGGGGCCTAAGTGAAAAGTCATATATTTTATGAAACCCAGGAGTGTAGAACCCCACAAAGTTCAGTGCAAAGAGCATGGCCTGCCTTCTCCAAGTCGGGTGGCCTGAATTCTAGCCACTGGGTGACCTCAGGTGTGTCACTGGGCTTCCTGTTCATACCTGCAGAAGCACTTGGCTAGGTGGTCTCCAAGGTCCTATCTATTGCAAACATTTAATAATGAAAGGGTGCATATCCAGTCACAATCAAGGTGACTGTGAGCCAGGACATGGTTTGAAATCCTCACAACAATCTTATGAGCAAGATTCTATCGCCACCCCCATCTGTTACAGATGAGGAAGTTGAGGCACAGAGAGGGTGAACAGATTTCCCAAGGATGCAGGACTAGTAACTGGGGAAGTCAGGATTTGAGCTCAAACAGTTACACTCCTGACCCACACTTTTAACCACCATTGCTCTGCCTCTTTGTCTTACGATTATGAAAACCCACTCTGGGGTCTTTTTCCCTCAGGAAACTGTGCTTTAGCCCTGGATCCGCTGCGAATCTGGGAAGGAAAGGGGCCCGGAGTCAGAGGGAAGTGGCTGGAGACAGGAGAGCTCCCAGGAAGGGGGAGGCAGCGGGTCCTGCAAGAAGTGAGCCTTACTCTTTGAAGGAGCTGTAATACTGGTTGACAAATTCGATAGCTTGAGGTAGAAGTTCATCTGGGGAGGTAGGCTTGTCCCTGGGTCCTCTGGTCAAGCTTTTGGAGTTCATGATGGATCCCAAGCAACACTTGGACCTGCAAGCCAAATCCTGCAAAGAGAGAGATGGGTGGTGAAGTGGACAATTTTGATGGCCATCCTCTTCTCCGGGCCATGTTCTTCCACTCTGGCTGCTCCAGCACCCCACCATCCTACTCCACCCCTTTGGCACCTCCTCCTTGGTGTCCACCAGGCTTTCTCCCCACTTAGATTTCTTTTCCTCTACTGGCTGGACCCCACTGGGTGTGAGCTGAGGTTGCTCCCCCTCACCCAGGTTCAGCCTCTTGGTATTATTCCCAGCCAGCTCCAGACCCAGAACAAAGTCAACATCTCTATCCCTGAGGACATCTCGACTACCTTCTCATTTAAAGAGGCTGATGTGGCTCCTGGGAACACACTATTGGTGTTCAGCAAAAATGAACTTTAATGAGATGGTGCAAATCCCAAAGTCAGAGGGTGGCACAGAAAAAGTACTGGAAGGAAGTACACCCAAATGTTAACTGTGATAATTTCTAGAAGGTGTGGGAAATCATTCTGCTTTCATAGTCTTGAAATTTTCAATTCTTTCCCACTTATATGCATCAGATAGAATGCATTCTAAATTTAGAATGACAAATGTAGGGAACTATCAAAGGGCCTTAAAGGACACTTGGTACAACTACTCATTGGGTGCTTGATCTCCTTTCTAATATCCCTAAACTAGAGGCCTGGTGCACAGATTCGTGCACCGGTTGGGTCCCTTGGCCTGGCTTGTGCCCTCTCGCAATCCAGGACCCCTCGGGGGATGTCAGAGAGCTTGTTTTGGCCCAATCCCCACAGGCCAGGCCAAGGGACCCCACCGGTGCACCGGGCCTCTAGTACGCATATAAGATCTTTGGTTAATCTCTTCCTGCCCTTCCCTCTCCCCACTTCCCTCTGAGATTTATCACTCTGTTCCATGTTTCCATGCCTGTGCATTGAGCATCTTCCCCTGGTCAGTGCATGTCATAGCCACAGGTCGAACGATCGCTTAGGCTTTTATATATATAGATAGCTCTTGAATCCTTCTAGTGACAGGAAACTCACTACCTCTTGATATAGTTCAGTTAAGTTTGAGCAGGTCTGTTAGAAAGTTCTCCCTGATACTATGCTGAAACCTGTGTCTCTGTGGAAAAGAATTAATTTGTTCCTGTAACCGCTGATATCACCTCTGGATTATCCATTATTCGTGAGGGGGGTTCACAGTGAGTTGGCCTCATTTACTTCCTACTGTTATCTATGAGGAACACAGGTCTCTGTTCCCAGCACCCTTTACCCAAGTGGAAGACGGTTTGCTTTGCCCAGGGGGACATCTGTCTGATCCTCTAAGGGCCCTGATTGGCTTCACCGACTTGGGACAAAGGTGGTTCCCCCTGAAGCCCCAGACTTCTCACCGCTTTGGCCTTGTGGTGAAGTGTGTCTTGGAGAGTCATCCCACTGCCCCAGTTTTTGACCCTCACATGTCGTGGGCAGGCTGATGGGGGCGCATCCAGCTTAACCAGGGATTCTGGAGACTTCTAAGAGGGAGAAGAAAATAGGGATTTCCAAATGCTCCAACTTCAGGATCCCATGGGTCTCTCCCTGGCCCCTGGGCCCTGCTTTGGCTTTGGGTAGGGGTGGGGAGCTAGGGTGGGTAACAGGCCAGGGTGTCGGTCCATGTCCCTCCTCCCTTCCCGGCAGCCTGGCCACCTGGACCAGCGCCTGCTCGGAGTTCCAGGTGCCTGGGCCACTGGCCAGGCTTCTCTCCTCACCCAAGACCCTGCCAAACGCTCCCTCAGAGGAATTGCAACAGTGGGGACTAAGATTAGATGCAAAGGAGGCTACTGTCACAGTCAATACCGCTGAGAACAGAAACCAGGATGAGGAATAACCTCCCACTGCCTTCCACAGAGGCATTTAAGAAAATGAAAACCATCTTCTCCCCCAGCCCCCCCCCCATTCTCTGCCCATCTCCCTGGAACGCTGAGGTCCAAAGCACTTAGGGAAGGGAGCACCATGGGATAGAGGCTGGGGCTGGGACCAAAAGCCTCAGCTGTCGAGTCTGGGGTAATGTTGGAGTGCCACTTCTGACTCCATGATGGTCTCCTCTCACCTATGCCAAGTCCTCCAGGTGCCAGTGCACCTTGGGGGCCACCACTCCGGATCACCACGGATCATCCTGCTCTCCCAAAGCCCTTCCTCATCCCCGCCTGTGTCCCCTGGGTCTCCACTCACTGCCCAGACCCCAGCTTCCACCAGGCTGCTCAGCGTGCACCTGCCTGGGCGAGGGGGGAAGGGGCTTCCCACGCCCCTGTGACTCACTGACCTTTGCCGCCCCCGTGAAGGGCTGGGGGGCCTCGTTCCGGTGCTTGCTGAGGCTGTGACACTTGGGGTCATCCTGTGTCACTGGACTGTGAAAGGAAACAACTGTGATGAGATGGCATATCTGAGGGCAGAGAGGGCTCTTGAGTCCCTTCTGCCAGCCTGTCACTTGATGGGTGAGGGGACCGAGGTCCGGAGAGTGGGAATGAATTGCTCATGGTCTCCAGCCAAGGAGGATGTGTGTATGTGGCGGGGGAAGCAGTCAGCCAGATCCAATCACCCCACCATCACCACCCTCCCTCCTCTTCTTCTCTTGCCTTCCCTCTACAAAGCCAAAACGACATGAAGGGAGCTGAACCAAAGCTGGGGGCCCAAAGGACGACCCACAGAAGCTTCAGGAAGATGCCTCCCTCAAAAGCTGAGTACAGCCTGGCCGGTGTGGCTCAGTGGTTGAGCATCAACCTATGAACCAGGAGGTCACAGTCCTATTCCCGGTCAGGGCACATGCTGGGGTTGCGGACTCGATCCCCAGTTGGGGCGCACAGGAGGCAGCCGATCGATGAGTCTGACCACTGATATTTCTATCTCTCTCTCTCCCTCTCCCTTCCTCTCTGAAATCAATAAAAGTTTGGTTTTTTTTAAAGCTGAGTACTATTGTGGGTGGGCAGACAACGGCTTCTCCCAGCCCAACAACACTGTCCACCACCCACTCATTTTGGAGGATTGGAGCATTTTTATTTAAAGCATTCGATTTGTCTCGGTTTATTTATATATTCTAAATTTTTATTATGAAAAGTGTTAAACATCCACAGTCAAGATAATAGAATAATAAACCCCATGGGCCCTTCACCCAGATTCAACCCAATCAGCAATTATCAGCCCATGGCCAGCCTGTTGCAGCTCCACTGCTCCCGCCCCCACCATCAGTCTAAAGCAAGTCTGAGAGGCCCTGATCTTCCTTAAATATCTCAGTAAGTGTTTCTGGAAGATAAGGGCTCTTTAAAATAAAACATATTGGTTACATTTATCTTAAAACAATAGATTTAAAGAACTTAGCCGGGCCCAGCCAGTGCAGCTCATGGTTGAGCATCAACCTATGAACCAGAAAGTCATGGTTCGATTCCCAGTCAGAGCACATGCCTGGGTTGCAGGCTCAGTTCCCAGTGTGGGGTGTGCAGGAGGCAGCCGACCAATGTTTCTCTCTCATCATTGATGTTTCTATCTCTCTCTCCCTCTCCCTTCCTCTCTGAAATCAATAAAAATATATTTTAAAAAAAAGAATTTAGCCTGTCCTTTGGAGAAAACCCTGATAGTCTGAAATCACTGAGAAACCATTGGTTCTGGTTTGGGATTTCAGGTTCGCTCTCCTGGCAAATGCTGCAGGGAACAGAAGACGTGTGGCTCCCCTGGCTGCATACTCATGAGCACCCCTCCAAGCGTCACACCCCACACATGCCTCCTCCTGGGGTGGGTCACACGACAGGGGCACTTTAGTAGGAAAGCTGGTTGTGTTCCATGTTCTTTGCACTATTTTCCGGGGTGTGCACACACATCAAGGGGAAGGGGGTTGGGGAGTGTTACAAAAGGGCCTCTCAATTTCTACTTTACACATATCTGTGATATTGGAATATGACAAATGGTCATGCATTGCTTTTATTACTGACAAAAGTAATATTTAGGTTGTGCCCAGTTTCCTCACTAGTATAAACAACACCCCAAACTGTGAACATGGTCTGATTGTGTGTGTGTGTGTGTACTAGTAAAAGCATAGAAAAACACAGTCAATGTTAACAGTGACTAGCATTCAGTGATGAGAGCATGGAGTGTGTGTGTGTGTGTGTGTGTGTGTGTGTACTAGTAAAGCATAGAAAAACACCAGTCAATGTTAACAGTGACTAGCATTCAGCGATGAGAGCATGAACATTTAAAATTTTTCTTTAGACTTCTCTGCATTTTCCAACTTTTTACAGTGACCACAAATTCCTTTCCCTAATGGGGGAAAGTTTTTAAATTTGAAAATGAATAAACAAAGCGACGCACAGTCACTTCTCTCCCCAGGTTAGCAGACTTCTTTAGACCAGCTGTTGGGAGATGGGTGACCAGAAGCCAGAGGAGCATGTGAAGGTTCTGGATATTGACTGACCAACTCTTGCACTGTCCACTCGGACACTCAGTGCAAGTTGGGCAACCACAGCTGTGCTTGGTCCTGCTTGCTCCTTCGTGGGAACAGGGGACCCTTACGGTCCTGCCCTCTGCCAGCGCGGTGCTAGCTGAGACCCAGGACCAGAGCTGCAGCCTGGTTTTGGGGAAGCAGGGGCTGACCTGGTCATGACTCGCCCGCAGTGCCCACTCCTCCCTACCCAGCCACCGAGGGAGGGGGTCGGGGAGGAGCTCTGGGAAACGGATCTTATTTGTAAATCAAGAACCTTCTTGCTCTCTTACATCTGTCCTACAGGGTGCAGCAGCCCCAGTGCTGAAAAGCCTAGCAAGCTCCCAAGTGCGGAAACACCCACCATCCCACTCCGGCCCTCCTGGACGCGGCACAAGGGCGCACGCGGGGCTTCCCTGGGTTTTGTGGCTACTGCACTGCAACCTCTTAGGCGTCCCAACCGAGGAGAACACTTTAGGCGAATCCTCATCCAATTCGAATATTCCAACCCTCCTGTTTTCACGGGAAACCGACGCTCAGAGAGGGTCAGCGCCAC